CCTCTCTCAGTCATGGCCAAAGGTCACTTCCTGGCAAAGCTTTCCCAGATGTCCTCGGGCAGCTACCCCCACCTCTATGTTCCTGTGGCACTGTATGATTACTATTTCGTGGCAGATGGAAAAGAAGAAATACTGTTCCCCTATCTGTCTCTCCATGACCATTGTCCCTACTCAGTCAAACCTCAAGATTACAAAATGCTGCAAATCATTATTTACTTTTTCAAAATGACACAGCATGAAGAAACATCTCTTTTTTAACATGACTAATAAATGTGACGAAATAGACATGTTTTCCCTTCCATATATATTAAACTAGTCACTTGTATTATAGACTAGAGGCCCAATGCATGAAATTTGTGCAAGGGGCTTGGCCCCCACTGCCGCTGTGGCCGCCTCTGCCTCGGCCCCTGCCCCTGTTACTTCATCCGGAAGGTCGTCCAAGAGGACATCTGGAAGGACATTTGGTCTAATTAGCAAAGGAGAGGTAATGCCAATAAATTCAAAACCATATTTCTGTATAAAATGTAACTTGTAATTTTTCAATTCTCATATGAGAAAAAGTATTTCAATTTTACTTATGAAATTTATTTTGTAGAATCAGGACCTCTCATATACATGGATCCATCATACACTGGGTGCATTAAGCAGCAGAGGTGATAGTCATTGGGTAGCAGGAATAATAACGAAGATTTCCTAGACTAAACCATCGCTAATATTCACCGGAGGCTTCAGATTTCTGAGCCCTATCCCAGAGTTTCTGAACCAGTTGGGTCTGGGGTGGAGCCTGGAAATTTGTATTTCTAATCAGTTCTGATGACACTGATAGCTGGTCAGTAGAGCACATTTAGGGAAGCAGTGAGCTAGTCTGATCTGCATGTTAAATTGTTCAGAGACTATAGGAAGAGAGGAAGTTTGATAAATAAGTATAAGATAATAAGGATTATATGTATCTGAACTTAGAGAAAGGATGCCTAATTATGCCTGGTGGTGGGCAGACATGGCACATTTTTAATTGAGGCTTAAAGAATGGGTAGGTATCACATTGTTTGCGGGTAGTTTTTATCGCACGCTAACAGGTGGTGCGGGCCATTTTTGCTAATTTTTTGTGCAAATGGCAACGTTCAGTAAAATTACGATAACCGCTAGTCTATAAAAAACGTATTAATACGTGTCCCGCGCTCTACTACACTGGTAGAACGTATAAATACGTAAAACGTGTAAACACGTTTCCCGCATACAATGTGGTAATTATCTGCTACATTGATGAATGAGGGTTGATTCCTGGCCAAGAGAACAGAGGCATGAGAAAACAGGTATAAATCTAGAAAAGAAGAAAATGAGGAGAGCAACAATAGTGTGGATATAGACTAAGGTCGCTGTCCTCCATGTATTTTAGAAAGAACTTGCTGGTTTGTACAGCCCTTGACAGTAGGTTGCTGGTAGTCATCATTTCTCTCACCTTGTTTGCCTTTGCAAAATGAATCTCTTTTCTGGTGTTATGCAGCCTAGTGCAAATTATGGAAACTCTCAGAGCTTTAGTTTTCTCAGATATAGTTTGGAGACAATTCTACTTTTATTGAAATATTTATTTTTAAGGATGAAATTAAAAGTATGGCAGATGCTACTTCACTTCCTTTTTTTTCTTATGTCCCCATACCTAAGGTAGTTCTTTACAAAATATTATTTGAGCACCTGATACAGGCAAGTCCTTGATGACTTATATATGAGAGATGTTTTCAGGACTAATAGTGTCCTCTTCACTTGATATTCTAGCATAGGGAAGATTTCTATTTTAGAAGGGAAAAGCTACTCATTTGGATCATTGCCTAATAATGTTTGATTTACTCTTTGTTAAACATAGGCACTAAACAATTGAGTGTATATGCACATGCACACACACTTATATACATAAATAGTTCATATATATACATCTACTTATATGCATGTGTAAATAGAAACAGCCTATAACTTCTACATATTAATTTTTTCACATTTTGTACTCCATTTATAAAATAAGAATATTATAAAAGTGTAAACAAATTATGTTAGAAAGTTTAGTATTTTCTTACCCTCATTCCTTCAAATCTAGATAAAGCTCTTAGAGGTCTTAACGCTCTAAGTGTCCGAAGGGACTTAATGGGGGTGAGGTCTGAGTAGTCAAGAGTATTTGCAACTAAAGTAACCAAGGAAACCTGCAAAAAAAATTTTATTAATTATTTGAATGAAATAATCATGAAAGATCACTAAGAGCAGCTCAACAAGGACAATATGATTTTATCTATCAAGTTATCTAGTCAGAGCCTAAAACAATGGGTAAGAGGAATGCTTTGCAAGGAAATAGATAGAAAGGAAGGTTAACCAAAATAAAATGCAACAATAGAAGGAAAGTAAGTTATTTCTTATATCTGAAAAAAATCACATGTACCTTTCATACTTTGATAGTCCAAGGTTATGTACTTTTGCATATTAATTCTGAACATTTAATGAGAGCAGCTATAAAAATTTCAATTGAAATAAAGCCCAGGACATAACAAAGTGTGTGATTCTAAAGCTAATTCATAAGAGCATATGGCATTAACTCAACTACATCTAAACTTTAATATAAACCTTATATAAAAGCAATGTGAAGAATCATGATTCCGTGATGGGGTTATTATATTGAATATAACAGCTGAAAATTATTGAGAAAACTACAGTATAGCCTATAACTGAGAATATACTAGTATATATGCATAAACATCCATTTACCTAACTATGCACATATATATATGTATATATATTCACACACTATATATATGCTCATACTTATGAATAATGTTCAATTAAGTTTCAAATAATAAAAAAGCCTGCAGAAATCAGACAAGTCCATTCTCTGAATATCAAATCAGATCAGTGGTTCAGAAACCTGAATATGCACCAGAATCATCTGGAGGGCTCGTTACAACAGTATGCTGGGTCCCAACACCAGAGTGTCTGATTCAGTAGATATTAGGTGGGTTCTGAGAATTGTACCCCTAATAAGTTCCCACCTATATGTGACAATTTTGTTGGTTCAAGAATCACACTTTGAGAAAAACTAGATTAGATAAGTTGCTCAATCTTTGAGAAATTAAAAAAAATCTCAGCTCCTCCCTCAAATCCACATCCCTAGTTTTCATCTCTACCAGCAAGAATATTGTGTGCAACTTTGTTCTCTGTGTTACGTTATAGAAACATTCCATATCAAATATATGTGTAATATGTTATATAATTATAGACAAATACTTATTTACTGTTTTTTCAAAATATTAAATAATATTTCAAATCAAAGCTACATACCTCCCCAAGTTCTGCTTATTACATAACCCTTCATATCACCACTTCATAATTTCAAATACAAAAAGTAATTTGTTATTATTGCTATATTTCTTAATTTAAAAGAAATTCAATTCTACTTGTAAACTTTTATTTCCTAAGTGGAGTGATAAAAATAACATGTTTATAGTAACATTTTAAAGGTTTTTGAATATCTTAAATGTTTTAAAATAACTTTTAAAAGAACCATCATAGTTACAGGTTAAGAGAAAAGAAATAACCTAAATTTCTTTTATCATTTTTTCTTATTTTGGTTAGCCTTTCTTTAAAACTATTATATTACAAAAGCATCCTAGGCAGTAACTAGGTAACATATACATAAAAGGCAAATATAAAAACAAACAATATGAAGTCATTAATGTAAGGCATCAAAAACTAGAAAGCCCAAGAGTGCATATGAGGTGCTATGTATACCTTGTGAAAAATTTTTTTTGCATATCACCTATATAGAAAATAAAATAGTTATTACTTTTAATATTTAATACATTGAGCTGTTAGAGTTTAACAGTTGAGAAACTGAACTTTAGAGTAGATATAGTTAGTTTTGGCTTCATTTTGCAGTCAGATTTTGTTGTTTATAGTCATGCTTACATATAATTTTGATATCTATGAATAATGTTGCATTGATTTACCCTTTCTGAAAAGTTTCATAATGCGAACTCTTGGTTAAATGTTAGAGCACTTGTTGGTACTCTAAAAATTTGCATGTTGTCTTCTAATTCCAGATATCAGATGGGAAAAAAATCTCTAAAAACTATGACTTATTATAGAACCTTTCTTTTCTAACAACAAAGACTAGATTTTGGAAAATCTAGGAGAATTAATATAAGAATGAAGAAATAATTCATTCTGAGAAAAATAAAATTAGGAGTTTGAGGTAGTAGCTTAATTTAAGGAAGCCTTTTTAAAAATAATATAGAATATCATATAACAATTACATTATTTTATATAATTAAATTATATCAAGAAAATATAAACCAAAATAATTTGAGTACACTAAATAAGAATGACATGACAATAATGGGTTGTACCATTTAATTTCTATGTGAGATGCCTTGATCTCACAAACTGTTTAGGATCTGTTTCCTGACTACTTCAAGATGATGACTAAAAAATATTTTTGCTTTGTTAAAAATAATACATAAACTGAAGCATTCTGATATATTTTCTTTCATCCAAGTACTCAACAGTTCTCTGAATTTGTTATTTGAAATTACTAACGCCAATTTCTCTGCTCCACCACCACTCTAGAGATGAATGGTAAGTTGGGTGTTTGAATGGGGATAAGAGCTGTGACTAATTTTGGTTTTCCCAATCATTGTCATTAAGATACAAACTTTGAAATTCCACACTCTCTTCACTCTAACATGGAGTTATTTGCTTTAGTACTAACTACCATTTTTATATAACTTTTAGCTAACAAAGACAACTTGATGCACCCATCACCTTATCTTTTAACTTTATATAGTAAAAAAAATCAGTTATTTTATCTTTTTAACCTATGTTTCTGCCCTTTTCCATTCCGACCCCTTACTTTCCAATTGTTCATTCTGTTCATATTACCGACAGGAATGACATCCAAATCACATCTTCTCTGATTGCAAAAAACACATGCAAGAATAAATTATGTTATAATGGTAGAGAAAAGAATTTACATTTGTTGAAAAGTTTCTCTTTTATTATCCCTCACAGATATCTACTGGCTATATTAATATTTCTAAAAGCATAAACCTATAGACAGAAAATACAAAAAGCTAACCAAAATTATAATATATAACATTAGTGAAGGCTTAGCAGAACACTTAATCATCACATGAAATCCTCTTTGAAATTTCATTCAAAGTACCTACATCGACAATTAAGAAGTCCAGCCAACACCAGGCATTGGTGAAATATGTTTTATAACCATATGCTACCCATTTTAGAAGCATTTCCAGAATGAAGACGTAAGTGAATATCTTGTCAGCATAGTCCAGGATAATCTTAATGGTCTTTTTCTTCTCAATATATATATCTTCAAAAGCCTGTGGAAATAATATTCAAATTCCTATTCATTTCCAACTAAAAGCTTATGATTCATAATAAAAATGGGAAATAATTTTGATGAAGAAAACCACTGAAATATAATACTATTATGAGCCAACTGAGTTTCTTCTGGTTTACAGCTTCTGTGTGACACCAGTTCTAGAGGTCATGAGAAGAGAAAGGAGTCACAAAGGAATGAAATTATTTCGAATATTCTGAAAAGAACCAGATCTCTGGCACTTGCAAGGACTTCCACTTCATCTGATTCCTCTTTTATCCCTCTTCAAATTGGATAAGACATGATAATTTCAGACCTGTTTCCAGGGTCAGCCACTCTGCTATATCTTTCTCACCCTGCACTCTCCTACACCAGTAGGATTTGGAGACCCTCCTTCAGGTCTTACATGCTTATGCATCCCCAGGAACACAGCAGGACGTGCAGAAGGGCTTGCTAAATGACCACGTGCAGGAGCTTAGGATGACTATAGGACATAGAGGTTGATTTCTTCTTTGAATTTTGCACAATATTTTATCATTCATTAAAAGCTTCAGTTCTACAAATCACTCCCATATTCATTCCATGAATGTGGCACCCTTAACACTCTCCCAGTAACAAGCCACAGCCACAAGTTCCTTGGGAAATAATTTGAATAAACTTAAAGAGCTGAGCTCACTGAAGACATTGAAAATGATTGCTGACCCAAACAGGTCTGTAGTAAGAATTTTCTCTTTCAAGTTTAAACAATACTTACCATGGTGAAGAAAATTAAAGCAAAAGGGCCTGTACCCTTAGTGATTAACATAATACTATCTGTCCATAAGCCTGGCCTTGTGCCATTCTTATTCTTCTTATTCCAAATTCACCTATCAATACCCTAAAAATGATCCCAAGCACTTTGTGCAAACTGTTGGTATGAATATTGAAGGAAACAGAGAAGTTGGGACGGAGAGAATGGGCAGATTACTAAGATGCTAAAAGAAGGTTCCAGCAGCTGGCAGAGGTTCTGAAAGTCAGTGGAATTAAAGTGCAGGGGAGACTTCCAGCCCTTGGGACTTTTCTGCCTCCCTTCTCCAAGTTCTGGAGGAATCAGGCCAGCTACTCAGACAGAAACTATGGTGGAAGATAGGGAAGGGGCTTGGTCACAAAGAGTGCTGTTCCTGGGCCTGGGGTGCAGAGCATGACCAGTAGATGCTGAAAGCCAAATACTCTGCCTGAGCATACCTTGCTTGGCAAGTCCCAGAGCCTGAAATGGGGCTCCTAGCTTCTAGGACTAATTTTGTGGATGTGAGAGCAAGGGGACAAGCAGGGCATTTTATGAGCTCTATCTGACTTGGGGTGTGGGCTTTACTATTACTCATTTTAGTTACCACTTACTCACCTATTTGGTATGCACCCCCCTTCCTGAGGAGCCACAGCATAGTAAAATGTACAGTGGCTTTGACTTTGACCTTAGTTAAGTTATGACTCTGTCATTTACTAGCTCTGAGACATTAAGCAACTGTTAACACTCTGTAACTAGCTTCTTCATTGGTAAAATAAGCAAAATCCGTAATCTCACAGGATTGTTGAAAATTAAAGGAGAACACCTATATAAAGGTCTTGAAATACAACAAATATGTACTAAATTAGAGCTATTACTTTTTATTTATTTTACAGACAAGTATTTTTAAAATCTAGCTCAATTGGAAAATTCCCTGAGCATATACACCAGCTTCTTGAAATACCTTTTTCTTTTCTTCTTCCTATGATTCATTTGAATTTTAGTTTTGAAAGTGTCCCCCCCAAAAAAAAAGAAAATGGTATCTTCATTTTTAGACATTTTGAACAAGGCATCACTCTAAGCTTTTCTATAATTTTTTGGTAATCTCCTTTCTGAGTCTAGTGATATTATGTGACTCAGCATGGGATAAACTTCCTTAGTCATTAGGAATACAAGATAATGTAGACACTGTCAAGACTCTTACTTGCATTTCACCTGATAAGTGAAGTAGCAATTTCGTACTCATCTCCTGTTTTTGAGAGAGGAGAACTGTTAGGAGAGGCAATTTACTATCCCCCTGAACATCCCTGCGTGTTTTTGTTGGGTGTGCCAAGAATGCAAGGCTGGATTACTCTTGATCCAGGCCATTTCTCAGGTTGTTTCTACAACAAGCAAACTTGAGAGATGAGATGGTGTCACCCTTGGGGACAAAGCCAGGTTGCTTACTGCTTGCTATAAGAGGATGGGTTCCCTAAGCTCAGTGCTTGTCAGCTGTGATGCTGACCCACTGTGTGTGCCATGTACACTTAGCTCCATGCTATGGCCCCATGGGATCTGGGGACAAGAGGAACCAGCACACACATGTTGAAGTTCATGCTGCTTTTTATGCCACGAGTAATCAAGTCCTTTGTCTCTGACTCGAAAGTCTCATATTTTCCGCCAGCACACACAAAACAGTAACAGGTTAACTTCTTGTAAGAGTAAAATCAAATCCCAGATCCATGAAGACTGTCTATGAGGCAATTTATAAAGTTCTTGCAAATTCTGCTTTCAGTAGAATGGAATTTCCAGTGGTATCTCCAGCTGGAACTATGCTTCCAATGGCTCATCTCTGTTAGTCAGCAGGGAAGGAAAACAAATTAAGAAAAGGCTCAGGGAGCTCTTAACTCCCAGATTCCCTTCAACTCTCACTGAAGGTGCTCAGTATATGTAAAAGACTGAGAAACTTGTCCATTCTCACCCTAAAACTGCAGTTTATTTTCCCTTAGAATAATACCCAGGAAGCTTCATAAGGTGACACTGCCTATCTTTGTCACAGCATCGCTGGCCACCACCTCCATCTATGTATTTGCTCTTCCTCCCATAACACTTCCTAAGTATGCCAACTTTTAATTTCCTGTATATCTGATGCTGTTTTATGCTTCCTTCCAATTGTACTATGTTCCCCTCACTGGAAAATTACTATTAATCTTTCTAGACCTTGCAAAACATCATCTACTTTTCTGAAATCTCAAGCAGACAAAGGTTCTTGCTACAGGCTTCATCAGTATATTCTTCACTTATAAGCCTTCATTACTGGTACCCCTTTCTTCCCCAATTGCTCTCCAAGTTCATGATCTTACCTGGGTCTTACCCATTTTTGCATTCAGGGCAGCAAGGATACTGTCCTGCATGTAGAAGTGCTCAGTTAATATTTACTGGCCTGAGCTAAAATTCTACCCTTGGTACTCATCATAGGGACTAATGGTTAGGTAAAACAACTTGCTACGGTATTTTTATCTCACAATTCATTAAGGACTGACACTCAACTTATTGCTTTGGGTGTCAGATTACTTACCAGAGCGCCACTGCTGAGCAGGATCATGAGGACAATAAAGCTTTCAAACCAGTTGTGTTCAACTATCCTAAAGCATGTTTTCCTGATATTCCACCAGATTTTTCCTTTTCCTGAGTCTATGCTAACGTCACAGCATGGGAACCTCCGTATGCAACCTGGCAAGAAAGATATGGATTAAAATGGCTAAAATACACGATTTAATGCAAATGTTTCCCAAAGAGAGAGCCTCAACCAAATAATTTCTAACACATACTTGCAGCTTCAAATAGATTCAACCTTCTCTCATCTCCTAATTCTCATGGTGTTTTCTTAACACTTGTCAGTTATTTTTAACTTAGGATATATTCCCGTCTTCTGTATTTCCCTGACTTCTCGCCAATCTCTTCTACAGTGTTTATAACATTTTTTTGCAATCCTAATACACAATGAACACTGAGCTTGAGGAATGAATAAATGAACTAAAATCTGAGGACAGTTCAGGGTCTTCTTTGCTGAAAGATATAGTTTCCTTAATATAGATCTAGTTGGCAATCTGGTGTGGCTTCAGCTCTTCCGTAAAAAACCTTTGACAAACTCCACTCTAAATAATAATAAGAAAATTAGCAAAGGTCCTAAAATTAAGTTTAAAAACTAGATCTTGATTAGAAGATGCAGATGAAACTGTTTCAAGTACTCTTAAGTTGAAAACAAATCGGATGTTGGAATCCTAGGTGTACAATATACTACTGTGAAAAATTGAGAAACATTTTTTAAAAATGTTTCAGGTTTATTCTTTCATTTCTCCATTAAATATTTCTTGAGTATTTTCAATATAGTCAGTTATGTACAGAGTTTCTTCTCCTTGGGGAATTTATTTTTGGTTTTGGTTAGGCAGACAGACATATAAATAAATGACTATAACCTGATAAGCAACTAAACTGACAGATATGCAGGGGTTATTTTGGCATATCTGGAATAAGCTCATTGAGAAGGTCAGAGGAGGCTTCCTAGAAGGGTTGAAGTCTGAAATGAATGATTGTACTAGCTAAAAAGGGTTTGCATGGAATTCTGGGCCAAGAGGCAGCCGAATGTGCTATGCATAGAAATTGCAAGCAGTTCAGAATTATTATGAAAGCAAAGTGTACACAGGAGGCCTAGCTGAGGTTAGAGAAACTGATCAGATTATAGAAAGCATTTCTCCCACCTCAGGCAATTAGGTCTATATCCTATAAACATTGAGGAGTCAGGGAAGGGTTCTAAGCACAGAATGATAAGGCAGACTGCAATTTAAGTAGACGTCTCCAATGGTTGTGTGGAGAGTTAAGTTGGAAGAGGAGAAAAAAGAGGGGTGGAGGTAAGGAAAGACCCCTAGCCAAAAAAACATTTAGAATTCTGGTTTAGGGCAGCAGGA